AGTGGTTCCATATGCCTGATCAATCATTAGCAATGATAGCATGCATCAGCAACTTGGGCAATGGCCTTTTCCACACCTGTGCACTTCAGAGGTCATACCTCAAAATCATCCCCTTGGAAGATTCATTATAACGCCATGGAAACTCCATATTTTCTTCCCAAAATTTTCCTGCATGGAGATGAGATGATGGTCTTTCCCTTAATAATTTTTATTAATTTTATATATATACGAAATTCTCATCTAGGCACTAAGCATGAAAAGTGTGCATTTCGGAAGCAAATGACTGTATCAGAAGACCACTTATGTGTTGTCCAAGGGTCCAGGAGCAGCTGGGAGTGAGACCAAGAACAATCAGGAAAAATTAGAACAGCAGAAAATAACAATGCTACAAGGCTTCCCCTCACTTTCCTATTCAATTTTCAGACTTTCCCATCAATTCAGTTCTCATTATTTCTTGGGTCTCCAAAAGTATTTTGCATTTTTCTCCATCATTTCTTCCTCAATTTTTCAAATAATTATATATCCTGAAAGCACTTCAAAGGCACTATAGTTCCTGATTTTTTTTTTTTTCAACTTTTTAAAAACCCCTATTTTTCAAAATTCCCTCCCACTGCTCCTGCCATATTGCATACTCCTCACCACTCCCAGCTGCTCCTGAACCCCCTCCCAGGAGAACACTATTGGCTCCAGGAGTGCCCAATCTGCTGTTTTGTCTCCAGGCACTCCTGACTCTCCAGAGCATAATGGACTTTTGCTGATGAACATTTGGAGCTTTGCTGTCACTGATGACTACAAGTTTATTGAATATCATTCTACCTACATGACTTGGTCCACTGCCTCAAATGGAACCAGGATGATTTGTCAGGGGACGACTCCCGGGTCCCCATGACCCTCCCCTATGGCCCACAGCCTCAGGTCTACTGTGGGTAAGAAGATGAGAAGGAAGCTAACTTCTCATCTTCCCACAGTGGCCACCATATCAGGAAAACTTCTGGGGATATCCGGAAGTCACATGAAGGAGTAGGAACCGGGCCCGGAGCATGCGGCGTGTGGAGCGTGCACACATGCGGGAAGCACAGTGGGTGGAAGTGGGTCCGGACGCGGGTCCAGGTCCGGGCTAGTCAGGGTGTGTGCCCTGACATCACCCTCCCTCTAAGCCACTTCGCCCCGAAGTGGCCCTAGTCCCCAGGTAACCCATCCCTCAAGTGGTTAGAACAAAACAAAAAAGCGGAGGTGGGAGCGGGAGCGGGGGATAATGTAAGGGTGGGAGTATAAAACTATTCTAAGTTAAAAAAAGCGGCAAAAAAATAAAAGTTAAGTTAAAAAGATTAAACTAGTTGTCCATTGCCGCATATGCGGTGCTCCCCTAAGACTTGCCTGAAAAAAATTCGGGTCCCTCAGCACCCTCCATTGTCTGCTCGCGACTCGGCGACCTCCAGCCTGCATCCCTCATCCCATGATGCCCCAGCTGCAGTCGTGTCGTCCCCATGATCACGTCCGGCCTCAGGGCTGCACCCGCTTCGGGTATGGAGGGTGGTCGTGCAGCACTTGACCTCTGGGCCATCATCTGCGTGCCTGCACTCTGACCTCCAGGCTGCGCTCCTCCGGGTATGCGGGGTCGGGGGTGTGGTAGCGCCGAGGTAGCAGCAATAGTGGGAGAGTCCCAGGGGATCCGGCAGGGTCTACACCCCGCTCCCCACCCTCCCTCTAATGCCACTTCGCCCCGAAGTGGCTAAACCTCGAAAACCCCCTCTCCCCCCTCCTCTGCACATGGTGGTCCGTTGCCTAGGACACTGGGCTCCTCTTCAGGGGTGGATGGGGAAAGTATGGAAAGGGAAAAAAAAATTTTCGGGGTGGGTAGCGGGTGTGCGGTAAAGATAATAATCGGGCCCGATACCAGGCCATGCGGGGTCGCGTGTGAGAAACAACTCTCCTCCAAGTGCATCTTGCGCACTGGGGAGTCCGGGTGCATGGACCATGGGGTTACTTGATGTGGGCTGAGCACCACCCTCCCTCTGTGCCGCATTCCCAAGCGGTCACAGCAGGGAACCTTGGGCTCCTTCGTCAGCTCTCATCCATCCCCTCTCAGGTCCGTCCTCCATCGAAATCCTAGGGTTAAACTCTCTCCTGGGTGCCTGGCACCTCAGGGAGTCGGGTCCGTGAGCCATCGCAGGTCTGTAATGCGGCTGGGATACACAACCCTCCCTCTTGTCAGGGACTCGTCCGGGGTCGAGGGGGTCCGGGTATAGCGTCTGGGACCGAGAGCCTGGTGGGGGGCGGATCGGGCATGCGTACTGACAGGCCCGATGTGGGACAGTGGTCCCTGGCCACTTAGACTGAAGTGGAAAGTTGTTATTATTATTAAAGGAGAAATATTGTACTACTTACCTGAAGTGGAAAGTTGAGAAGAAGGCTACTTCTTCGGTTCCCACTTCAGGTTCGTTTATATACATGCGGCTTGGGTCACATGACGGATGCCACGTCACCCTCGCACACAGCCGTAACCACCCAGGTGTCTCCGTGGGAGATCCCGAGGGTATCCGGTGCAGGCACGCGTGCTGGGCACAGTGGGAAGTCGCCCGAGGTGCCCGGGCCGGGTACATGGTGGGCGCGCTGCAGATGGGTCAGTTGTACATTGATACAGAGAAAGTCGTCCATGTATGTCAGGGCTCGGTCCTCAATCAGGGACAGCCCGACCTCGGTCCTAGGTGTGTGTGGTGTTCCGGGTGCTTGGGCGCTAGACCCCGTCCTCAGCTCCTCAAACTCACTGAAGGGACTAAGCGGGGATTGAGTTGTCATGTATTACAGAGGGTAACTACAACTTGCCTAAGCGGGGATTGAGTTGAGAAGAAGGGTAAGTTTCCCTATTCCCCGCTTGGCTACTATAAAAGGAAGTGTACTGTACAGTTCGTAACGTGATTCCGGGTAGAAGCCGAGCATGTTCCCGCGACTCGGAAAAGGTGTCACATGGGTTAAGGCGAGTTGCTCGCCTTAACCCACGTGACTTTTCCCGCGGGCTCACATGCGGGTTGAAGTTGTGAGAGGTATGTAGGGATGGGGAGGTCTGGGAAGGTGGTTCTGGGGTGTGGTTGGGTGCCCTGACAGCGGGGTCAGGGGCCGATCCCTGACAATGTAGAATAAAGAGAGAATAAAGGGGAAGTAAAATAAGGAGAAACTGAGGAGGGGAGGATGAGGGGGAAGAAGGGAAAGGGGGAGGAGGTAAGGAAGGGTGGACCGGCGGGGTACCGGGTCAGGTTGGGCCGGGTGGAGCCGGGTCAGGCGGGTGTGCCCTGACACCTCTATGCCGCATGCCTAAGCGGCCATAGCAGGGATCCTGGGCACCCTCACCAGCGGCATCCATTCCCTCTCATGCTCATTCTCCATCGTGAATCCAAAAAGCGGTGCTTGCGTGCGCGCGTGACTCTCAGTCGCAAGTGAAAGCGGGGGTGGGTGGTCTCATCCAGGTTATCTTGGGCGTTGTAAGCGGGCTCGGGATCTAGCCCACTAGGAAAACAGGAAAGGACGGGGACCGGATTGGTATCCAACAGGTCAGGGAAAAGGGGTAATGGTGATATGGTATGGTCCGGTGTGGTACGGTGCGTGGTGTACTCCAGTCAATCTCTCACCCCACCTCTCTGGGTGACACTAAGGTGAGGACTGATATAGAGGTCTTCTTACTGATGTTCTTCGTCGTAAGACTCCCTACTAGCTTGGGAGGGGCAAACTCAGTGGTTTCTAATCCAAGGGGAAAAGTAGATACATCCTCATGTACAGGTATATATGAGAAATGATCAAATAAAAATGATAAAAAACATCCGATGTGCCCCATGTGCTTAGGTGGATCATATGGGCAACAAACAATATCGAAAAAAAGAAGGGAAAACAATAATCAAGAAAACAATAAAGCAATAAATGATTTCCAGCCAAAAAAATATCCAACTCTATCCATCACCAATGAACTCCCGCTAATCATGGATCCTAATACTCCTAAATGACGCGTTTCCAACGGTACCAATATCGTCCAAATCGGTCCAGTGGTTGCTGAGATAAGTGAAATCCAGTCTGAGTGTGGCCGCGCTGCTGGGTGGGCGTGGGAATTTGGTCTGTGAGGACTGGGAATGTGTCTGGAAAAATAGGAAAAAATCATGGAAGAGTAGGAATGGTATATGAGGACGTGTGTGATGTGTTTAGTGAAGTGGGGATGTGCAGGGATGGGGAAATCGCGATATTCGGTTCGTTTATGCAGTACCGGCTGTGCCCGCCTACATCAGGCCTAGCTCTTTATCGTGGTCCCTCACGATATCCTCAAATCTAAACATGTCCATCGTATGCGATCCACAGGTCCTGGGGATTCCAACCAAAATAAATAAATGTTGTGTGCATAAATAGTACGCTTATGACATATCCTCATTGTGCACGGAGGTATTGTCAACGGGTATATTCAGTCCTGAACTCGGACTTCACTTTGCTACTGCTATGCGTCGCATCGTATGCAATCACTCCAACTATTTCAGGAGGCTTCTGCTTTCGTCTGCGCATGGAACTGCACTGGAAATCTCAACTGCATCAAGATTGCTAGCGGACTCGACACTTCGCGCTTCAGCAAGTTTGTCAACACTAGAAATTTGATTGAGCAACAAGGGCTTGCTTTCCCATCGTAGTGGTCATCGTCTATGCCGCTGGGATTCACTGGGGCAACATGTGTCCTCATATCCTTGGTGGCTTGGATGCTGCTCACCGCAAGGAAGCAATTGCTTGTAGCGATTCTGACATCGCGATACTTTTCTCTGGGGACAGATTGACAACAATCGTGTCATATATGTGACTAGGCACTACTTGGGGCCTCTCTTTGGCTAAAAGCTGTGCATTACGCATATGAAGCGGTGTGGAGGTATGCATGGCCCAGATCGCGAAAGTCGAGTCTGGGACATCGGACTCTGCAACTTCAAACTCTGGGGCACTAAACTCGGTTGCTGGCATGCAACGACTCTTGGAAACGTCTAGCTCAAAGCCTTGGTGGATTCATCATCAAGAGGAGTGCTGGGGCCGGAGGCCTTAGCTCTTTTAGCGATGCGCTCGCGCGTCATCTCCTCGACTCTCTTTGCCGGAACTTGGTCAAAACCATCTGGAATCTCTTCTGGTACTGAGATCGACGTCGTATGAGGCCAATCGAGCTCGTCGCTGAGGCTGGGAGGCCTTAGCTCTTTTGACTTAAGCTCAGCGCACTCTGGCGCTACTGTTCTGACTCGCGCTTTGTCTAGCTTGCCACCAAACTTGCTTGTCATGTCTGGTGTGGACTCTCTGATGACTACAGTGTGTTCTTGAATGACGAGAGAGTGCTCTGACGTCTCTGGTTTGCAAATGTCAACCTGGATCTCGGTGACTAATATGCAATCGGCCACTTGAGTCAACTCGGACTCGCATGCTTGGGCCAGCTCGTTGCCCGCATTCTGGTTTGTGCTCAAGACCTTGTCTGGGTCTTTCTCAGGTGGACATTTGTATCCATCATCAAAGAAATCGGGTGAGCATAGAGTACCTGCGCACTCAAGCGCTTCCGTGGGATCGGCACAAAGTTCAACAGTGAGATTTTTCGTCATCATGTAACCTTGATGTATGATAGTGTAGTGATAAATCAAATCATTGACTCGTTTTTCGTGTGGCACAACAGCAGGAACAGCTTCGTGTGAGATAGTGAGTCTGGCACACTCAGGCGCTTCACTGTCAACTGCAGTGTCGTCGGATTCATATCCGGAATTCCAAGTGAAATACTCCACTGGGTCAGCGATCTGTGAGACTTCAATAAGGTACACAGTGTTGTTTTTAATCGCATTCTCGTGTGCAACTTCCAGTATGGCTGTGGTGTGCTCAGCACCATCATTCTCTTCGCGCTCGGTCTCTGCGCTTGAAACTATCACTCCGTTCTCAACCAGTCTGGTGTTTATGTGCGAACTAAAAGAGTCTGAGGCTCTAAGGCTCTCGTCTGGCTTGACTCTACACTCATGGCACGTCTGTGCTACACAACATGGACTCAATCCGAGCGTTGCGCTAGCTGGATCTCTTGGGAGCTCAAAATCGACGGCTGCAGCAGCTGGGTCGACTACTTGGACTGCCGCTACACTTCTCTGGACTGGACTGGGATGCGTGTCATCGCGTTTTCTCCCTGTGGTGCAATCCTGGGGCTCAATCTCAAAGTTCCCACTGAACTCGGGTTCAAGTTGCGCAGAACTCTGGCTGGCAATAAACTGGTCTGGTATGTCGCATGGAATGAAGCGCTGGGAATCTCCCTGCACTTCTGGAATGGCTCTGGTCGCGTTGAGCTCGATTCCAGGATCAAAAGGGTAGAATTTCGCCATCTTCACTAACTGGGCGCTTATTCTGCGATATGCGGGGCTCTGGCCATGATCAGGCACTAAAGCACTATTCTCTTTTGGTTCATACGATGGACGATAGCAATCGTCTGGCATCAAATGTCCATTTGCATCATGCATAACTGCAAATTCCAACTCAAACTCTGAGATCGGATAGTATGTGGTCGCATTCTTGAATGTGAGCAACACTCCAGGCTCAATGGTTGTCACAAGAGTGTCTGCATCGTCAGATCGAGGCTCTCTGGCCGCCGTAGGATCACCAGGGGTCACTTCGGATAGTTGCCACTCCAGTTCCTGAGTGAAATCTAAGACCGGGTGCGGGTCAAAGTCTCGCGGATTCAAAGTCATCGTGCTTGAGTCAATCGGCTCTTTCTTGTCAATAAAAGTCGTCGCCTCCATCGTATGAGGTATTCTAGCTTCGTCTGAGCACGTATGGGTAGTCTCGGCCCAATCCGAGGCCTGAGGAGCTAAGTTATCTTCGCAAATTTGCGGATCTGAGATGCGTTCAAGGCCGATAGGCCTAAGCTCTTTTGGTTCTAGCTCTGGTACTTCAACAGGGCTCTCTAGTTGGTCATAAGTGCTAGATTCTAGGCTCTCAGCGCTAGAGATGGATGCGGCAATCGGCGCACGATCGGCTTCAGACTGAATGTGAGCGCGACTCAATTCAGTTTGCAGCGCTTCGCTTCTGACTTCGACTTCAACTTCTGGTGTGCACTCCTCTAAGGGAACTGCTGGGACATTGGCATGGACTTCGAAATGTCCGCTCAACTTGGACTCGGAGACATCACAAGTGGGATCCGAAAGATATGCAACATGCGTCGATGCGCTCTGGTCATCTGCCCACTCTTGGAGCACTGGAGTATGCCTACGTGGTGGCAAAGCCTCCTCATGGATAGCTGAGCCCTCTAGGTCATGGGATTCGCATTGTTTGACTGCCGACTCTCTGATCGGAGTATCTTGGACATCGGAACTCGTGTCTGTGCCAAACTCAGGCATAACGTCGCTCTGATCTGCAGGTTGTGCTGGGAACTCTGGGAACACAGTATGCGTGGAACTCTGTTCTGCTATCTGATACAGGGTCGCGCTATCACATCTGTCAGCCAAGTCATCGACTGGCTCGGACTTCATGTCGAAGTCAACATCGTATGAATCGTCTCGGAGCAGTTCTCGTGCAACTGCGACAACATTGTTCATATGGGGAGGCTGGGTCGAATCAGACCACAGGCCTTGAACCTTGAGGTCATACCTGAGTTCGCGTCTGAACTTGGACGGGAATCCTTGGTAAAATAAGTCATCACGCTCTGAGGCGGTAAGGGCGTTCTTCGCTTCCAAACTCGCAGCGATTACACGGAACTTTCGCTGGTAACGTGCAAGGTGCTCTAAGCATCTCATCTTGCGGTCTTTCTCCACCAACTTGTGGAGGTCTTTCTTGCGATAAACTGGCTCTTCGTCGTCGGTGCTGTAGAAGCTCAGCAAATCCGACTTGAGCGACGACCAACTCTGGGTCTCAAGTCCAGGGAATGTCTGAACAAGCTCGGCTTCCCTCTCGGTGCAATAGGCTATCAGGTAGCTGCACTTCTCTGGGTCTGTGAGGAGTGCGGCATGCGCCAACATCTCAAACTCGTGAAGGAACTTCATGATCTGCCTGCCCTTAAACCGTGGAGCTTCGCGGCTGCGGGGTCTAGGCATTGGCATAGGTTCAACATAGAACATGGGCACTGCAGCTGCCAGGGCTGAGGCCATCACTGGAGGCGAACTAAGCGCCATGGGAACAACAGCAGGTTCAATGTAAGGTCACTCTAGACCTGCTCTTGGGGGAACTTGGAGGTACAAATGCGGTCTCCGACGCCAATTGCGGTGTGGCAGGAGGGAGAAATCGCGCTAACGTGGTGGGTAAACTTGGTAACTTGGTAACTGAACTTGTAATGCGTGTGGATCCGTTGATCCGTGAACTTGTACTATACTGTTTCTTGATGTGTTTCTGTAACGAACAATGTAGATACTCGATATCCACAGTAGAATGATAAGTGTTTCAAAGGAAAAGAAAGTGTGAACTTGCGTGAAAGTTAGTGACCCGTGGAAGAGGAATATCCTGCCCCCTTACACTTGGCTTACCATACATGGAACCTCGACGACCAATGCCATGTCTGGTAGCTGTCTGGCTCGTCGGGTGACTGTCGTGTCGTCGTGGGGACACAACACTCTGGTCAAAAATGCGCGAGTCTGGAATGGCAGGTTCTCTTGAGGCAACTCTGGCCAAACAAATGTCTTGGGTCACTGGCGAGGGACTCTCTGGTCACCTCTGGGTACTCTGCTGTCTCCTCGCGTCGGCAGAACAGCGCTTAATGTGAACTTGGAGAAAAACTCTGTAATAACACTTTTTTTGCGGCAACTCAGGCCAAAACTTCTGGTAAGTATGTTTCAAACTAAATCGTGGGTTGTCTGTACGTCTTGTAACGTTGGTAGAAATGTGTAAAACGTGTATAAAATGAAAGTATGATGGCCACAGGCCCGGTAGAAAAGGAGTGAGCACGCAACACTGGGCCCCTGTAAGGACCACCAGAAATGTAAGGGGGCAAGGGATCTACCACCCTAACGAGAAAGAGAGGGGGCCAAGTGTTTGGAATGCTCAGGGGAGGTTCGGATGATGAGGAGGGGGGAGGAGAAATGGTCCGGGTGCGATGTGATAAAAATGATAATCTCGTAAATCTCACTGATAATCAAACTGATGGGAACTCTGTCCCTGCACTATGTCTTGAGCCTCTTTGGCTTCTTATTTGCCGCTGTGGGCGCTGATAACGTCTGCTAGAACTTCATGTTCATTGGGGAGCACCTCTCTCTGTTGGGGGAGTCCTTTTTGTAAATACAGGGAAGAGGCAGTTATAAATATGAAAAAGGTATGCATGGAAATCCGAATGATCCGACGGGTTTAGGACGGCAACAGATCCACAAGGAACAAGTAAGAAAAAAGTAATATCAAAGAAATATTGACGTTGTTAAGGAATAAAGAACCATGGCGATCGCCTCAACCGCTGAACCAAATGCGTCACTCATAGCATCGTTCGACTCGTGTTAACAAGGGCTTTCCAACGATACCAAATTCGTCCGGATCGGTGGAGAATTGATGGAGATACAGAGGAAGCGGTGGAATATGCGGGTGACAGTTGCCCAATTTGGAAACTGATGGTAGTCCGTGGTCAGGAATGGTTTGAAAAAAATCAGAAAAAATATGTAAAATGTGGAAGGGGTATTTGGAACAGTGGTAGATGTGTTTCGGAAGTGGAATGCTTGACGTGGGTGGTAGAATCGCGATAATCGGTTTGTTTGTGTGGTACCGGCTGTGCCCGCCTACAGCATCTGTGGTTACGAGGCTGGCAGCGGGTGGGTGACCCCGTTTCCAGAGTGCCTTTCAGCCAGTGTCTCAGCAGCAGTCAGGCGGCTATGTCTCCTTAGCGCGTTCAGCGAGGTGTCCGGGTAGTGGTGGGATAATGTGGGGAACCGGGTTGGTGGTCTCTAGTGGGTCATCATTCTTGCGTCTGCGGTTACGAGGCTGGTAGCAGGTGGGCGACCCCGTTTCCAGAAGGCCAGTACGTTGGCAACAGTCGGGCGGCTGTGTCTCCTTAGCATGTCAGCGAGGTGTCCAGGTAGCAGTGGGAATGACCCTCAACTCAACCTCACAGATTGGTGTGCAATCTGCAGGACAGTGTTGCAAGGGGCTGGGATAGCGGGGGTGTGGCTGTGTCGCAAGTAGTGAACGTGTAATGGTCTGGGGGAAGTGATGATGTGGCACAGCTGCCACTCGAAAATCGTGCACGCGGCCCATGCCCAGCTCCGACTCAGTCCGGGCTCTCACAGCCCATGCGGGACATCCTAGGTGGGCAGGGGCGATTGTTGAAGCTTCCTTCTGCTGTCAGGGGACGACTCCCGGGTCCCCATGACCCTCCCCTATGGCCCACAGCCTCAGGTCTACTGTGGGTAAGAAGATGTAATAGATAAGATACAACTTGCCTACTGTGGGTAAGAAGATGAGAAGGAAGCTAACTTCTCATCTTCCCACAGTGGCCACCATATCAGGAAAACTTCCGGGGATACCCGGAAGTCACATGAAGGAGTAGGAACCGGGCCCGGAGCATGCGGCGCGCGGAGCGTGCACGCATGCGGGAAGCGCAGCGGGTGGAAGCGGGTCCGGACGCGGGTCCGGGTCCGGGCTAGTCAGGGTGTGTGCCCTGACACCACTCCCTTGACTGATGAAATACCCTATGGTCTTTCTCGCTGTCTTGCAGCCAGTCAAGCTTGATGAGCTCAAGAAATAGTTAGTGACAATCCTGGTGCAGAGCTCACATGCTATCTTAGTGATCCACTTGAATTACCTGGCACCGACATCCTCAACTTCTGGATGGTAAGTATTGTTAGTTCCGATGCCTATACTGATTCCCAGAAATTAGGCTCCACATATCCAGTCCTCAGGTCCATTGCCCAAGACATACTCTCGGTCCACACATCTTCTGTCCCATGTGAAAGGGCATTCTCTGCCACAAAACACACTGACAGCGACACCCAGAGTCATCTCACCCCTCTGCATCTTGGTGCTATTCAGATCACCAAAGCTGACATACAATGGAATCGCCTTAAGGAAGACAAGGGGAGGAAGGCTTCAGAGGAAGCAAAGGCTCAAGAGTGGCAGGAATTTGAGGCAAATCTTATCTTGGATTGTGCAGAGAGAGAAGGAATAGATCTTGAGTTTTGATGCTCAGTTGACAGTACTAGAAAGGCCGCTTACGCAGCCATGACCTTGCTTGAAGTGATGGAAGTATTGGAAAGGGCATTAAATATAAATATACATGGATCCAACTTTGGGGCTATATAAACCATGTGGTCGTGAGGCCCACACTATTTCTTGTATGTGATTTCGACTCAGTATCTACATATCTGTATCCCAAGGCTTCCAAGGCCAAATGAAATACGCCAGCATTTAGTGGGAATACCTGATCCTCCTGGGTCAGGGAAGCCCCACACATGGCGATAATTGCCAATGCAACAACGGATTCCCCCACATTCAACTACCCCTGCTTTGCCTGGCCCAAATGGTCAGGCACCCCAATCCCTGCCTGGTGAAAGCTACTGAGAGTTCCACCAAAGAAAATACAAGGATGCGAAGTTGATGAGCACTGGATGCGGACTCCAAGATTCGACAAGTGTCCTCCAACAACCCATGTGATGATTCGATGGTTCTAAGGGGAAAGCCAGGCAGTTATGTGATTCAAGTGACCACATACCGACATTTGAGCGACGAAAGTACCCACATTGCTGAGTGTTGATATCAATGTTGAGTCGAGCACAGCAAGAGTTCAAGCTTAAAGAGCTCAGGCCTCTGGGCCTTCACCCTAGTCCATGCATTATTCATATTAGAATTAATCTATGTCATGTGAGACTCAGACTCATATAATGTCATATCCATCCCCGGCCATCGACTTCCACTCCCTCCAACCCTTCCGGTCTACCTCCGCTCCTTCTTTACTAACCTCGGAGCTCCCATATTCCGCAATCACCTCGGTACCCCTCGATGGTCACCACCCCCTCTTTTCAATTTATTACCTACACCTCCCTAAGTACGGAGCCCCGAAGGCCTCCGGACAGCTCCGACGTCCACTAGCGCACTCCCGCCTCCGCTGGGCAATACACTCGCTTGCCCTGCAAGCCCACCTTCGGGCCTATCCCTCCTTTCCATTTCTGGGTTATCGCCTACCATTCTGTTAACCCCATAACCCAACTCATCGGTAATATTCAATCGGCTAATGTCTAACCCCATTAGCTCTGCTCCACCATTTGCGGGCCCGCCCTCACTGTAACCATATATATACTCAACTTGTACATAGGTTACACCTCAGTAATAAAATCGACTAGAGTTTACCCCCTTGGTTGCCAGTTTAGTAAGTTAGGGCACGGACGTGTTACTTGGCACAGCGCTCCTGGCATAAGTCGCTGAGGCCAAAGCCCTCCACCATGGAGACACTCCTTCGTCTCAACCTGGTCTCTGACATATAAGAGATCTAAGATTGTAAAACCTATGTTGTGTGAGACTGCAACAAGAATTATACATGAGTTATAGGTAGAAGACATAAGATGGTTCTCTGTAAGGTCGGTTGAGGTTCCGACCTTGGTGTTGACTCCTGCTATCCTCAAGCTGTCAGGAATTAGGCAGTATAGAGCTGTAATTTCGACAGGGGAGGAGAAGAGTGAAAACCTGTTTCACCCTTCCCCGCAATTTATATACATTGTTTACATCGAGAAATAAAGAGTAATAAACAATGAAAGAAAGAAAGCGTGCACAGCACGCATCACCACACATCCATTCCCTACATCCTCCCCCACTAGAACAACCATTGGGTGTTCGAAAATCGAGAAGGAATGATGGGTGGACTTAAACTAAGGCGGATCCTTGGTTCGGTGTCGACGGACATCCTTAAATGGCCTTTGAGGATGTGTATCGGGGGTGGCGAGAATTGGGAATGGAATACATGGCTGCATTGTTTTGCCACCAACAACAGCAGCATATGTAAGAAACGGAAATGTAAAATTTTTTGGTGATTTCCATTTAAAATAAGTGGGGGGAAAGGGGATTGGAGAATGGACGGAAGAGGAAATGGATGGCATGGGAGTGATGGGAGCAGAATGACGCTCGGATCGGCGCTTCTTCCGGCCTCGACGACGACGACGTTTCGATGTTGCCGCCACATCAGAGGATGGCGTGGACGCACTGGACGACA